TCTCCAGTGGGCGGGGAACTATAGAGAAAGAGCCAATGGTAATCGGAGATAATGGGAAATGTTTTTAAGGGGGCGGAGCTGATTATGTTTAGCCAATAGCAATGCGTTCCTTCCCCACGACCGGCTGTCGTCCAACAGAACGTCTTCAAACACTTCGCTTACCGAGAAGGTGTGGCTCCAAAGTGAACTGTGATTGGTCCGTGCTATCGAGGCACTGTGCTGTGATTGGCTCCCGCTCCAGTCGCCCCCTCGGCTCTTCCTCCTCGGCCAGCGAGGGCTCATCAGGCCCAGAGTTCGAATCTTGGGATCGGGGTGGAGACGGGGTACCGGCCTGGGGAGTCCCAGGGCCCGGGCTGGGCTGAGGGGTCAAGACTTTTGGCGGTGAGGGCTGAGCCAGTCCGAGTCGCGGGTCCAGTTCTGACGCGGTGGAGAGACAAGGCCATGAGCTTCCTCCTCGGAGCTGCCCGGAGAGGAGACCACCCGCCCCTCGCCCCTCGGACATCTCACCTGCCCCGGGTCCTCCCGCCTCCAAGCCGTCGGGTTCCTCGTCTTCCAGCGGGGTGGAGCTGCTGGTGGCGGAGTCCTCCCCGGATCCCGCTTCCCGCGCAGCCCAGCCCAGCTGGTCCAGCCGGAGCCTCAGGTCCTCCAGCGGGTGGTCGGCGGGGGGCGCGGGGCCGGGGTCCGCGCGGCGTCCGGGCTCCGGGGACTGGCTGAGGCTGGGGATGCTTTCCAGGCTGTCGCCCAGGTCCGGCTGAGGGGGCGGGTCTCGCGGTTCCGAGACGGAGCGGCCCTGGGGCCGGGGGCGGCGGGCAGCCGAGTCCCTGCGGCCCCCGGAGCCCACGGCGCCGTCGAAGGCGATGTAGGAAAAGGTCAGCTCCCGGGGGGTGCCCCAGTCCTGCGAAGTGGTCTCCTCCTCGTCGTCTTCCGAGAATTCCCGGGCTGTGTGCAGCTCGCGGAAATCCGAGTCGTCCTTTCCTCCTGCGGGGGCGGAGGGAGGCCGTGACCCGGGGGAGGCCGTGACCCGCGCGGGCTCCCGCCGGCCGCACCCTCTCCTCCTCCCGCTCCGCTTACCTTCCGTGGAGTCCGGGGTCGACGAGGCTGTAGACGGAGCTTCTTCTGGGAGAAGAAGAGTGGGAGGCTCTTAGGAGTTTAGACCGTCCGGATCGCAGATGTGTGCCCGCTCTGGAATCTTAGACGGCCCAGATTCGTGGCCCCCCCACCCCCACCCCGGACACGCAGCAGGCAGCCTACAACCCTGGCATCCGGCAGCAGCTCCAAGCACTAACGTTCAAATCCGGAAATCATAGAGCCTGAGCATGCTTTCAGCGGCCTCTCTCTGAGCACCTGCTACCGGTAGGCCCTGGCGACACAGTTATGAACCAAACGGACGAAACACCTGCCCTCCTGTGGTTTACGCTCTACGAGGAAGGCAGACAATACACAGATACGTATGGGGCTGCCTTTGTGGTGCGGCGGGTTAAGCCACCGTCCGCAGGGCCAGCATCCCATGTGGGCGCTGTTTGGAGTCCCGGCTGCTCCACTTCCGATCCAGCTCTCTGCTGTGGCCTGGGAAAGCAGCAGAAGATGGCCCACGTCCTTGGGCCCCTGCACCCACGTGGGAGACCCGGAAGAAGCTCCTGGCTCCTGGCTTTGGCCTGGCTCAGTCTGGGCTATTGCAGCCATTTGGGGAGTGAATTAGTGAATGGAGGACCTCTCTCTCTCTCTCTCTCTCTCTCTCTCTCTCTCTTTCCTCCTCTCTCTCTTACTCTGCCTTATAAATAAATACATGCACAATACCGGGTCAGGGAAGAGACTGCAAGAGCCAGAAGCCTTCTGTGATAAGTTGCCAGGTGAGCAGAGAGCTGAAGGAAGTGAGGGAGCCAGGCTGACATCCAGGGAAGCTGGACAGGGAGGGGAGCCAGTGCAAAGGCCCTGGGGTGGGCGCCGTGCTGGGCTTGTCTGATGACAGAGGGATGGAGGGGTGGGAGATGGGAGGAGTGAGGGGAGGGGCAGTTCAGCAGGGCTTCCCTCCCTAATCCAAGGTAAGAACAAGATCTGAAAGTGTGGGGAGGGTACCCCAAAATGCCGAAATCACAGATGCTTGGAACCACGGCATCCTGAAGACTGGAATGTGCCAGTATCTAGATCAGAGGCTGCTGAAAGCCCAGCTGTGAGAGAGCAGGTGTGGCCAGGGAACAGCAGACACAGGAGCCCTGGGCCCAGCGAGCAGGACCTGGAGGACCACCCTGGGCGCTCCGGGCTGGCCTGCGGCTGTGCCCCGGGGACAGGCTGGACGCTGCTTCAAACCCCACGGCCCTCGGCCCCATCTCCGCTTCCTCGCCAGGAAACCGCAGGCCGGGAGCGGCGTGGGTCCTCGTTCTCCAGGGTTACTACTGACCAGCGGCAGAGCCTGCTACAGACCCGCGGGTCCTGGCCTCGACCCAGGAATGGCTGTTTACCAGGGACAGGGGCTTGGACAGTGTGGGTGAGGTCGGCGCTTCCTCTTGGGCAGAAAACGATGTATAGACGGGTGATGGGGAGTCAGACCCCTCCTCTCTGTCCTGCCTCTACCCCTCCATTCAACCCCTTCCCCGCCAGCTGCGGCCAGCACCAGGGCCAAGGGACAGCTCCCGCGCGCGTCCCCGTCCTGGGGAGGGGCCAGACGACACATCCCAGCGCCCAGCGCGCCCCCCACCTCTGCCCCATCCACCAGGGTCCTCCTGGTCAGGCTGCCCCGTGGCCGCCAGAGAGCGGGGGGAGGGGAGAGCTTCCTTTGTCTCCTCTGCCTCCTCCCCCCCCTCGGCTCTCCCGCGGCGAGGCGCGGAGGGGATACCCCGGAGGGACCCCACTCGGGCCTCAGGGCCCCACACCAGGCCCGAGCCTCCCTCTCTACTCACTGCAGTGGGCGAAGACCGGCAGGACCTGCCCCATGGCCCCCCTCGGGCCTGCATCGGGACCCCCGCCCACTCCGGCCGCGCCGCCCTGGGCCCGGGGCCTCTGGCGCTCATCTCCGCCGCGCCCACGATGCCGCCGCCATCCTCGTCGCCTCCTCCCGGGCCGCGCGAGCCGCCGCCGCCGCCCTCTGCTCGGCTCGGCGGGGGCGGGCGGGGCCGCGGCGGGGAAGGCACTGCAGCGCGGGGCCGGGGGCGGGGCCGGGGCGGGACGCAGGGCGCGCGGGGGCGGGGCAACGCCGGCGAGGGGCGGAGCTAGGAGGCGGCCGTCGGGGCAGGGATACAGCGGGAGGCCGCCCGAGGGGCGGGGTCTAGACAGGTGGGGCGGGGCCTTTAGGGAAGGGGTGGGGCCTGAGGCGAGGCGAGGGGCCCCAGGAGAGAATGGTGCCTCCTAGGAGTCCAGGAGAGGATGGGGGCGCGGGTGTCAGGCCGGGTAGGAGCAGAGCTAGGATCCACTGAGAGGGACTGGAAATGTTCTAAAGCTCTGAGCTCCAGCCCAAGCCCAGATCACAGAGGGCGAGTGGGGAGGGATGGGGAGGAAGCTTTGGAGTGCCGAGGAGTTGAACAATTTAGAATTATTCTAACAACTGGGCGTGGCCGAAGCCCTAGAGGCGTGGCCTGGGGGGAACGAGAGGGACCGGGCTGGGGAGGGGGCGCAGAAGCCAGGGTTTCCAGAAGCCAGGGTTTGGGACAAGTCCCGGAGTTAAGAGGGGGAAGCTACGGGCAATGCCCAGGCGGCGGAAATGGTGGGCTTGAGTGGGTGGGCAGGACCTGGATGAGAAGGCACCTGGTGGCCAGGGCGCAGTGGGGGAAGGGCAGCGGTCGAGCCCGTGGAAAGTTCTATATGTGAAGGTTTTGAGGTTGGGGCTGGGACCTGAAGCCAAGACTGTGACATCGGATTCTGGAGTCAGCAATGCCCTGGGACACCGATTACTTCCTCTGTGACTCAGTTTCCCCTTCTGTAAATGGGCGGTGTTGAGCTTGGGAATGGGTGACTGATTTGCTACTGTTACAAATGCGCCCTGGCCCAGGTCCCATCCCTGGCTGCGAGGGTGCAGGACACGCGGGACTCAGCAGTGCGATTCCTGCCAGTGACCCTACTCCCTCGCAGGTCAAGGGACAGGAAGGGGATTTAGTGGGCTTACAATCTCACCGCGGAGGGGATTAATGGGGGAGGCGGGCAGCCGAGTGTGGAGCTTTCTTGATCCCGCGGCCCCAGGATGGCGGCCCTTGCCCGCCTGCTGGGCCGTCTCCTCTGGCCGGCCGGCAAGGAAGAGGAGGAAGAGGAGAGGGAGGAAGAGGAGGCGGCGGCGGGGAGCCGGGTCCCCGGTGGGCCGCCGCCTCTCCTGACCGCGCCGCGATGCGTCCAGTGGCCGCACGGGGGTGCGGCGGCAGCGTGGGGCCTGCGCTTCGGGGCCAGCGCCGTGCAGGGCTGGCGCGCGCGCATGGAGGACGCGCACTGCGCGCAGCTCGAGTTACCCGGGCTGCCCTCGGGCTGGGCTTTCTTCGCGGTCTTCGACGGCCACGGCGGGGCGCGAGCTGCCCGCTTCTGCGCGCGCCACCTGATGAGCCACGCGCTCGAGGCGCTGGGCCCCGCGCCCTGCGAACCCGAGGGCGTCCGCGGGGCGCTGCGCCAGGCCTTCCTGAGCGCCGACGCGCGACTGCGTGCGCTCTGGCCCCGCGGCGACCCTGGCGGCTCCACGGCCGTGGCGCTGCTCGTCTCCCCGCGCTTCCTGTACCTGGCGCACTGCGGGGACTCGCGCGCCGTGCTGAGCCGCGCCGGCGCCGTGGCCTTCCGCACGGAGGACCACCGGCCGCTGCGGCCGCGGGAACGCGAGCGCATCCACGACGCTGGCGGCACCATCCGCCTCCGGCGCGTCGAGGGCTCCCTTGCCGTGTCGCGAGCGCTGGGGGACTTTGCCTTCAAGCAGGTGCCGGGGAGGCCCCCAGAGCAGCAGCTCGTGTCTGCGGAGCCCGAGGTGACCGCGCTGGCACGCCGCGCTGAAGATGAGTTCGTGCTCCTGGCCTCGGACGGCGTGTGGGACGCCCTGTCCGGAGCGGCCCTGGCGGAGCTGGTGGCTTCGCGCCTCGGCCTGGGCCTGGCCCCGGAGCTTCTGTGCGCCCAGCTGTTGGACACGTGTCTGTGCAAGGTCCCGGGATCAGGATGTGTGGTGCATTCGAAGGCCAAGAGGCGAGAATACAGCCAGACAGGGAGGGCGTGGGGTTCAGCGAGGGGGCGTGGATTGCCGGGGGTCTGAGACCCAGGGGGAGAACAGTAGCGCTAGATAGGTAAGGGGGTGGGGCTTTGGGGTGAGGGGCGTGGTTTCATGGAAGGGGCGGGCACGTTGGAAGGTGTGACTAGGGCAGCCAGCTCACAGAGTGTGCAGAATCTCAAAGGGGCGTGGTGACCTCAGTTGGGGCGGGGTTTGGATGGGGAGGGGTGTGGCCTAAGGGCTGGGTTTTGAGGGCGAGGGCCCCTAGATGGGCGGGACAGTGTTGAGCTCCCGGGTAGTGGGGAGGTTCAGCCTCCAGCTCGCTCCCACGGGGCCCCCTTTCCTCCTCTCTGTCCAGGGCAGCCTGGACAACATGACCTGCATCCTGGTCTGCTTCCCGGGAGCCCCCGGGCCTTCTGAGGAGGCGGTCAGGAGGGAGCGGGCACTGGATGCGGCGCTGGGCTGCAGAGTCGCAGGTGGGCGGGGTCCCCGGAGTCCCGCGGGGAGCGGAGGTCGGGAAGTGGGGTCCCTCCCATAACCTGCGCCTTCTTCTCAGAGCTGTGCGCCTCTGCCCGGGAGCCCCCCACCCTCAACGCGGTGTTTAGGACCCTGGCCTCGGAGCACGTCCCGGATCTGCCTCCCGGGGGAGGGCTGCACTGCAAGTGAGTGGGGGGGGAGGTGGGGTAGGAGCCCCCATCCCCACCCCCCACTGAGGGCCCCCCCCCTTGCTCTCCAGGGCTGCGGTCATCGCCCAAGCTTACAGAGAGTGCTGCGGGCAGGTAAGGGCACAGCTGTTCTTTCTCTCTCTCCGGAGGGGGTGGGGCAGCCCCTTCCTCCTCACGTCCTGTCTGCTGCTTACCCCTTACCTGCTGCTAAGGGCTGGGGCTGCGGCTGGGCCGAAGGCTGGAGTCAGAAACTCAACCCAGGTCTCTCTCCGTGGGTGGTGGGGACCCGGTGGACTTCAGCCATCGCCTGCTGCCTCCCGCGATCTGCACGGGCCGGAAGCTGCAGCCAGGAGAGGCAGAGAGGAGACCCTGCCCCCCCCCCCCCCGTTAGTGCAGCCCCTGGGATGCTCTGCAAAGCCCCATCCCAAGCACACGCGCGTGCGCGCACGCGCACACACACACACACACACAGCCTGGGAATAAGGCAGAACAATTCCAGGAATGTTAATGACCAGCAGAGACCAGAGGTCCGGGTGCACGGCAGAGGCTGGGCCCGCAGGCCTCGGCGGCAGAGGAGGGGTCTGGTTGTCACCACGCGCACGAGGAAGGGCTATGGAGGACTTCTCGTAGCATGAGGAGGTTATCTGCCCGGAGTGACAGGAACCGGGTTTCATGTCCTCTGAGCCGGCTTCCTTCCCACGCGGGTCTCCCCATGAAGGCAGCAGAGAGCCGCAGCGCCAGGCTCACCCCGCAGGGTCCTCTGGAGATGGCCTGTGAATTTCCAGGTTTTTGCAGCCTTGGGCCATAGTGGGCTCTCATTGGCCACCCTGGGTCAGGTGCTCCAGCTGTCACTCAGTCTTTTTTTTTTTTTTTTTTTTTTTTTGACAGGCAGAGTGGACAGTGAGAGAGAGAGAGACAGAGAGAAAGGTCTTCCTTTGCCGTTGGTTCACCCTCCAATGGCCGCTGCGGCCGGCGCGCTGCGGCCAGCGCACCGCGCTGATCCGATGGCAGGAGCCAGGAGCCAGGTGCTTTTCCTGGTCTCCCATGGGGTGCAGGGCCCAAGCACCTGGGCCATCCTCCACTGCACTCCCGGGCCACAGCAGAGAGCTGGCCTGGAAGAGGGGCAACCGGGACAGAATCCGGCACCCCAACCGGGACTAGAACCCGGTGTGCCGGCGCCGCTAGTTGGAGGATTAGCCTAGTGAGCCGCGGCGCCGGCCACTCAGTCTTTGATTGGCACCTTGTCTGGGGTCACAGGTCAGACGCTAGCCCTTAGGATTGGGCTCCATGCCAGCCAGAGCGGGTGGATTGAGGATGTGACGTCCCGGAGGTGCTGCAGTCCATACTGGAGTGCCCGGGGTTCTGCCTGGAGCAGCAGGAGCCGGGTCAAGTCCTTGAGACCTGGATAGAGTTCTGGGCCCCAGGGTGGCCTGGCTGTGAGCCACTGCTTGGAGGATCTCTCTCTCTCTCTCTCTCTCTCTCTCTCTCTCTCTCTCTCTTTAAATATTTATTTTAAAGTCAAGAGTTGAGAGAGATCTTCCACCTGCTGGTTCACTTCCCAGGCGGCCGTTGCAGGGACTGAGACAAGCCAAAGGCAGGAGCCCGGAGCTTCATCCGGGTCTCCCACGTGGGTGGCAGGGGCCTGAACAGGGGCCATGTTCCACTGCTTCTCCCACGCCATTCGCAGGCAGCTGGACCAATAGTGGAGCAGCCGGGACTCAAACCAAAGCCCATGTGGCGTGAGGCTGCTGATTACCTGCTACGCCACAGCACCGGCACCCCCTGTCTCAGATAAAATAGATAAATACAAATTTTAAAGGAGACAGAGGAGTGGGTGTTGAGAGGGATTCACAGGCAGCGCCTCCCACCTCTGTGTTACAGAAGGGGCAGGGGCCGGCTGGGAAGCCCACCTGCGCCCAGGCAAACTCCGCCTCGGGCTTGGAGGCCTGATGCTGTCACCCTCGGCCTGCTCAGCTGCAGCCCCGGCGGACTGAGGAAGAACACTGGCCCCTTCCCCAGCCCCACGCCCGGCCCCTTCCCCACTTCCCCCCACAGGTCTGCCAGGTGGGGGAACTCCACCGCCCACACCCACGCCCACAGCAGAGACAACAGAAACCAACCCCAGGGTTTTGAAATGAAGACAGCTAGCTGAAGGGCTCCTATCAGATCACCGAGCTCAATAACCTCCCCTCTCCTCCCACCCCCCTCCCCTCCTCTCCTCCCACCCCCTCCCCTCCCCTCCTCTCCTCCCACCCCTCTTCTCCCCCTCCCCTTCCCTTCTGGTTTTTATCAGTGTTCGGGGGAGGCAGGGGAGTTTTTATTATTAAACTTTAATTACATGTTTCCAAATACATTTTCTTTCTTTTTAAAAATGGATTATTGATTTATTTGAAAGGCAGAGTGAAAAAGAGAGAGAGAGAGAGGTCTTCCATCTGCTGGTTCACTCCTCAGATGGCCACAAGGGCGGGGGTTGGGCCAGGCCGAAGCCAGGAGCCTGGAGCTTCATCCGGGTCTCCCACATAGCTGGCAGGGGCCCAAGCACTTGTGCCATCTCTGCTGCCTTCCCAGGCGCATTAGCAGGGAGATGGATGGGAAGTGGAGCAGCCGGGACTCGAACCGGCACCCACATGGAATGCCGGCGCGGCAGGTGGCAGCTTTACCCGCTCCGCTGCAGCGCCGCCCCCTTAAATACATTTTCTTATAAAAGACATAGACACACACAGGGTTAGCAAGTATGCACTGGCACCTGCTGTGTGCCAGGCCACAGTCACAGCCGTCACAGCCGGGAGCCAGGCTGATCCAGGGACACCCTTGCTCTGGGGGCCCCTCCTCCCACTCTGGGGAGACAGCAAACAAGGCAGCCAGTCTATAAAAATCATCTCAGACCTCAAGGACCACCAGGAAGAGAACGGAGAGGGAAGCGCTGCTTTGGGTTTTCAAGTGTAGCTTTGTTTTAAAACATGTCGCTTTATTGACTTCATTCATCTGAAAGGCAAAGACAGAGAGAGATGTTGCACGCACTGATCTCACTCCTCAGGTGCCCGCAACAGCTGGGGATGGGCCAGGCCAAAGCCAGGAGGTGGGAACTCAGCTGAGTGTCCCGTGAGTGCCAGGGTGTGCATTAGCAGGAAGCTGCAGCGGGACTCGAACCCAGGCCCTCTGGTATGGGGCACGGGTTCCCTAACTGGTGAGGCCAAAGGCCCTGCCCTTCATTTAGCTTTTGTTTCTGTGTTGGTTTTTTAAGATTTGTTTTATTTAGTTGAAAGGCAGAGTGAGAGTGAGAGCGAGAGCGAGAGCGATCCTCTGTCTGCTGGGTCACTCCCCAGAAGGCCACAGCAGCCAAGAGCTGGGCCAGGCTGACGCCAAGAGCCAGGAGCTCCATCCGGGTCTCCCACGCGGGTGGCAGGGGCCAAGCACTTGGGCCGTCTTCCACTGCCTTTTCCAGGTGCACTAGCAGGGAGCTGGATTGGAAGTGGAGCAGCCAGGACTCATGATGCCAGAGTGCCAGGCAGAGGCTTAACCCGGGTCACCACAACGCCAGCCCCCATGTAGCTTTTAAATGAGTAATAAGCCCACTTGGTTCAAAACTCCAGAGTCCGGAGGCAGAGACGGCCTGTGCAGAGGCAGGACTGAACCCGTCACCTGGTGATAATCCAACTCCCCTCGCCACTGGCAGCAGCCGCAGTGGAATCAGGGACGGCTTCTCTGCACGGAGACACTGGGCACAGATCTTCCGAGGGTCCTGTATTTTTCGTACCCTACAACTCGGCTTGTTTTTAACCCCTAATACGCTGAAGACTTCTTCCATGAGGTCACTGACGTATCTCACTCTTGCAGTGCTGCCCAAGGTTCAGGCCAGGAAGTGCAAGGTCACCGTCCCCCCCTGCCTGCCCGCCCTCACCGGGCCCTGGCGCGGCCTGTGAATCCCACGTCTCTCCTGCAGGGGTCTCCTTACCTGGAGCTCCTAGTGCTGTTTACACTTTTAAAGTGTATTTATTAAAGCCGTGGCTCGGCTCACTAGGCTAATCCTCCACCTAGCGGCGCCGGCACACCGGGTTCTAGTCCCGGTCGGGGCGCCGGATTCTGTCCCGGTTGCCCCTCTTCCAGGCCAGCTCTCTGCTGTGGCCAGGGAGTGCAGTGGAGGATGGCCCAAGTACTTGGGCCCTGCACCCCATGGGAGACCAGGGGAAGCACCTGGCTCCTGCCATCGGATCAGTGCAGTGCGCAGGTCGTAGCGCGCCGGCCGCGGCAGCCATTGGAGGGTGAACCAACGGCAAAAAAAGGAAGACCTTTCTCTCTGTCTCTCTCTCACTGTCCACTCTGCCTGTCAAAAAAAAAAAAAAAATGTATCTGAAAGGGAGAAGTGAGAGAGGCAGACAGGAATCTTCCATCCACTGGTTCACTCCTCAAATGCCCACAAAGGCCAGGGCTGGGCCAGGCTAAGGCGGGAGCCAGAGCTCCATCTGGGTCTCCCACGTGGGTGGCCATCACCTGCTGCTCTCCCAGGGCCACCGGCAGGGAGCTGCATGGGAAGTGGGGCTGCCCGGCACTGCAGGCAGCCCCTTAGCCCACTGCGTCGCAGTGCTGGCCCCTGGCCCCTGCTTTGTACAGCACTTGAGCTCAGAGCCCTGTTTAGGGGGCTGGTGCTGCCGCGCAGCGGGTTAGGTCACAGGTTCAAGCCCCGGCTGCTCCACTTCTGATCCAGCTCCCTGCTAATGAGCTTGGGAAAGCAGCTCCTGCAGCCATGTGGGAGACCCGGAAGAAGCTCCTGGCTCCTGATCGGCCCAGCTCTGGCCTAGCTCTGGCCGTTGTGGCTCTAAGGGGCGTGAACCAGCAGATGGATCTCTGTCTCTCCCTCTCTCTGTGACTCTACCTTTCAAAATAAATAAATAAATCTTAAAAGAATGTATATTTGTAAAGGGTAAAGAAAATGCAAGCCAGCCAGACCTTAGGTCTAATATGTCCATTTGGAGTGTTCTAGACAAAGTTTGTGGGGGCTGGCACTGCGGTCGCAGGTGCCGCCCGTGGCACTGGCATCCAATAGCGCCAGTTGGTGCAGCCTGTGGCGCCGGCACCCCCTATAGCGCCAGCTGCAGTCCCGGCTGCCCAGCTGCCCTACTCCCTGCTGACGCACCTGGGGAAGGACGTGGGCCCTGCCATCGGTGAGGGAGACCCAAGTGGCGTCCCTGGGCCCTCGCTCCAGCACTAGGACCATGTGAGGAGTGCATAGCACATGGAAGTTTCTCTCTCTGCCTTTTACAGGAAAAGCCCCCCTCCTGTAGTGCAGCTGGCCCCCCAGAACTGTCACCCCTCCCATTTCACAGGTGGAAAAATCGAGACGGAGGCCTTGCCCAAGGTCATGGAGAACTGAGGGCTGGGCTCGGGGAGGCCCAGAAATCGCGACACCCTCGCTGGACCGGGGTTCCAGGTCTCCCCGAGCGGGTGGCTCACGCAGGCCGGCGACTGGTCCCGGGACGAGGATCCCCCAGGTGCGGGGCACACGCGGCCGCACGCTGCGCCCCCCAGTTTTGGGGTTCTACTCCCCGTGCCTCGGCTTTCGGGGTTCTGGGGGCTCGGACAAGAGGACCCCCAGACTTACCCCCGATCCGAGCCTGGGCTCACCCACTCGGAAAGTCCGGGCTGCGACTTCCCGGGGCCCGCACCTTACCCCGGGCCAGGTGGCTCGGGGCGGGAGGGGGCGTGACACGTGACGTCACGGGGCGGGGCCGCTGCGGAAGCCGGGGGGGGGGGGTCGGTGCTCCTCGGGGCCGGCGTGTGGGGGAGGGTCCCCCGGCCGCGGGCCCACCCGACCGCTGGGATCACGCCGTCCTCCGTGGGAGGCCCCACCGGGGCGCGCCTCGGGCCGGGGTCCCACCCCCCACCCTGCCCTCGGGCAATCCCCGCCCCCATCCCGACCCCGCGGCCGTGAGTCAGCGGCCGGCCGCGCCCCCTCGGCCCACTTCCTCCTCACCTTCCCGGGCCGGCGGGGGGCAGGGAGACGGGTGGGGCCCCGCGCGGGGGAGGGGGCTCGCCCCTCCGGGACCCCTCGTCAGTCTGCGGAGGAGGGGGACGCAGTGTGTGTGTGTGTTAGTGGTGGCAGCGGGCGTCCGAGTGGGGGGATTTAAAGGGGAAGTTTGGGCACCTCCCCGTGTTCTCCCCCTGAAGTCCAGCAGGACGTTGGGAATGGACGCGTCGGTGGGCGCCGCGACCCCGCCGAGACGCCCCGAGACCCCCGTGGCGGGAGGGCGCTGGGGTCGCGGAGGGCGCCCTTCCCTGCACCCCCACCCCAGCGGGCTCGCCCCCTCCTTCCGCGGGCTCGGGGGTGACGCCCAGGGTGCAGCCCCCGCGCAGGGCCGCCGCGGACAGCGAGATTGGGGAAGTGCGGGGCTCGCGCGCGGCCCTTTCCGGCGCCCGCTGCCGCCGCCCCCCGCCCGCGGGCGCCGCGGCCCCTTTAAGGCGCGAGGCATTGTGGGAGCGGGGAGTGGAATTTTGGAAGGAAATGTAGCGAAGAGAAGTACAGTAGTAAGAGTGAGGTGGTGGCGGCCGCCGGCCGAGGGGGCGCGCCGGGGACGCACGCCGCACCCCCCGCACCGAGCCCCCAGGCGGAGGCGGCGCCCGAGAAGCCGCCCCGGCCCGGCGCCCGTTCCCCCCAGGAAGCCGGACTCTATGGGGCGGGACCCCGGGGGACACTGAGCGGAACCCGGCGCCGGCCGCGAACCCCCGCAGCTCGAGCCAGGGGCGCCCCGGGAGCGCCGAGCCCGCGGGCGCGCCGCCGCCCGCCCCGCAGCCATGAGGTGAGCCCCGCGCGGCCTCCGGACCCCTCCCCGCCGGCCCGCCTTTGTCCCCCTCCCCCCGCTCGGCCCGGGCTGGACTTCGGGGACCCGCGCCCTGGGGGGGGGGCTCGGGTCTGGGCCGAATCGTCTCGGACGAGCTCGGAGCAGCGGCCGCCTCCCCGTGACCCGCGAGCCCCGGGGTGGGCGCGGGCAGGTTCTCCTGGGAGCCTTCAGGTTTGGGGGCGCTCGGCAGACTCCCGAATTTTTTTAGAGACTTTTTCTGAGGACCTCCAAGTTGGCAGAGACTCCTCGCGGGGATGCCGGGGTGCAGGCGGCTCTCAGGACCCGCCCAGACCGCACCTGGGGGGGTCCTGGAGGGGTGGCTGGGGGCCGTTCGGGGAGACCTGGGACC